GCTGATTTCCATGAGCCCTGACTGCTGGGGTCTCCGACACTTCTGAGCCCCCTGCCAAACTCCTTCCAACCAGCACCACCTCCTACCAGCACTCTCAACAGTCACCTCAACTCTCTAGAAAGCTGTGATGTGCCTGAGGTACCTGGCATACCTTTGGCTGGATGGGCCATTCCTCTCAGATGCCTTTGCTACACAGGAATTGATTTCCCCACTACAGGAAGACAATGGCTTGGGGCCCAACCCTTTCTGCCTGTGTATGGGCATAGCAATTCTTCTTGCCAGCAAGAGAGATTGAACTGTTCCACTCCCTTTCCTTGACTAAACTGTATCCCAAACCATAAAGATATATACAGGCAAAACAACACAATCTGTAGAGTGATAACAGTAATATAAGTGGATACAGGATGACACTGGAGATGCAGACAGAAGTGCAGCTGTAATTCAGAGTGATTTCTGCAAACCATTCTGAGTTACAATGTTACCCCAGACCAAACAGAAGTTCACCGTTGGTTCCAGGGGAGAGGAATCCGGCTGCCAGCCTGCAGCCAGGTTCCCACAGCAACAGCCAGGGTCTCTGCCAGTGCTCACTGTTTTCAGAATGGGAGGGGGAAAGGTAGTGGAGGGAGCTTGTTCTTGGGGCTCCCCAGCTAGTGCTGAAGGGTGGGGTGGGTGAATTGGAGCCCCCCCCCATACACTTATCCCACCCTCCAGGCGAAAACAGTTTCTTATGACTCCTTACAGTCATTGCAATGCCACAGTATAAACAGACATTACACTTTTATCAGCATAAGTGATTGGAAATCAGTCTATGACTGTAACAGGCCAGAAGTTCAGCACACGTAGATTGTTTTAAAAATGGTGGAATATAGTCTAAGGTTTGCTCCTCCTCTCCCCCCCACCAAAGGGCAAATGTGTGTTCTGTTCACTATCAATCTAAACTGCCTCACTTACAGAAAACCGCATAACTTAGATTGATTTCACCTCTGGCTTTTTAAATGTCTGTACCTAGCCTTAAAGTTAGGCACTGAATCTGTGTTTGGGCTCATGGAGAGGGTTCTGGTTTTCTGTTTTATCAAAGAATTAACTTTGTGGAGAATCTCCTGAAAGAATTTCAACCTTGAAACCTGTCCGAGAATTTTTAGCATCAAATCACTCAGTGGAGCTTATGCCAAAGTGAAATTTTCTCAGTGATCCTTGATGCTTTCCAACAAATTCCAAAGTGCTCATGAGTGAAAAATGCTACCACACTAATATTTAATGGAAAAAAGTGACTACATAATCTATTTAAAAGAAGAAAAAATGGGATAAGATAGAAATGATGAAAACTGCAGGGATCAGCCTGGGGAAATGGTCCAAGTTAAAAGCATTAGTTCAAAGCTGAAAAGGGTCTGTAATAAAAGTATGAGTCCAAGAGCAGACTGAGCTGTATGATAGTTACATTTAAAATTTGTTACATAACAATCATCATACATACCTCACTGACCAAGCAAACGGCATACGGTACTTCCCCAGCTTGCTACAGAACTGCTTGTTGGATTTTAACACCTTCTGTGCACACTAGATAAAGGAAAACTCCATTATAATGAATATAATCTTCTATTGTTTTGTACTGTGGAAAGTAGGCTTATGGAAGGCTGAAGCAGAAACGGCTTATAGAGACTGGAAATATGATTCAAAAGTATGTTTATGGGAATTTCTAACAAACTGGATCAGATCTATGGAGGCCTTCCAGAGGAAAGTTCTCTTATTAAGGAGTTATAGTGGTTCTTGGAACTTATGCTGTTCTAAGGATTTTCAGGGACTGTGACCAGGATAATTGGGGATGCAAGATCTGAGTGCATCCTCTGAGCAACCTCTGCTAATAAGGCTTTAATGGAGCCAATGGACTTACCTGCCCTGTTGCAGAAGCCCTTGGGGAAATACCTTGTGATCTTCCTGAAAATGAATCGCTTTCATAGTACAGAGACTTTCTGTTTAATTTAACTGAATGATCTCAGAGCTGGGGTATTAACATTTAGACCAGCAGATGTCAATTTAGAGTCTACCCTGACTTATAAATTATGCAGCCCTTATGAAGCCAATGGCATTCCACAGGATCCAAGTCAAGGGAGAATTTGGCCCTTCAGGGTAGTCTTCAAAGTGGAACTGGATGGCATGGATACATCCAAGTAGCAGATCAATTTAGGACTTTAATATTGAACATAAAGGTCAGCAGAGAAAAGATTTGGGCTGATGCAGTTTGAAGAACACACTGACAGACAAATTTTTAAGTGGAGTGCTATGCTGAAATACTTATAGTTACATTTCTGTTTCTTCAGATTCCTTGAAATGAAATTTTCTGAAACTTCCGAAGTGGGGGACCTCAGATCTGCTCCTTTATGTTATATAAATGCCACTGACTCATTCATGTCTTAATTAATCTTTCTAAGCCAGGGATTGCTGAGAGAGCAATTCATACCAATGCCCACTTAGCAGGTTTGGGGATGTGTGGGCAGCACAGAGCTGCATTCAGGCAGCAGCACATGTCCAGGGGTAGCAGTGGAGTTCCAAGGGCATGCAGCAGCGTGGAGGTGCATTCAAGAAGCAGTGTGGGTCCCTGGGGCTACTGCTGATGGGCATGTCCATTACGGCCTGGATACCATGAATTCTGCAGCAGGCCATGTCCCGCCACTTTCGGTAGCTTGCTAGACTACCGATAGGCCAGATGGAATGGTTCAGCCCATGGGCTGTATGTTTGAAACCCCTGGAGTAAAAGCTATACCACTATGGATTCACATGTAATAATCACACAGCATTTCATTAGGAATATTTGTTTGAGAATTAGGTTTTGTTGCCAAGCACCCTGAAAACTATACCAACTGTACTAAGCAGATATCTTCATAACATGTTTAATGGCTTCATTTTGTCATCCTTCAGATTACTGCTTTTGCCTTCGTGAGAAATAAACCTTAGATAAGCTTGTAAATTAAGCTCACCAATGAACTGGTAGGATTTACAAATATAGATTACAGTGTTTTATACTGGTGGGAAGATGTTTACACTATCATAGAGAAAATTAATATTTTCATTGTGTTACCTTATTAGAGTCTGGATTCTTAATGTAAGGCTCAGCACTGCTAGCAATATTTCCCATGAGTATCTTTTCTATTTTTGCCACCAACACAATCTCTGAGTGGGGGTTACTTATAGAGAAGAGAGCCTATAAATAATCAGAGAGAGTACATAGTAAGCATATAATACCACTATAAATGTTAGACACATAGCCAATGTTTCCTGTTGACATAAAATAAGTTCCATTACAAAATGATAGACTGATTTCAGAGTTGAATCCAAGTGAGGTAGAGTGAGTCTGTATTGGTGGGTCTTTCACTTTCTTTCAGTCTCCTTTATGTGGACATTATATCAGGTTGGGCTCTCCCAGAATTTCACTACTGTAGGCCTACTTTGCAGATAAGAGTAAAGTATACCCTGTAAATGAAACACTTCTATAGTTAGTCTTTTCACCCACCATTTGTCACTGGTTCAGTGAACACAGAATCATTGAATCATAGAAAATTAGGGTCGGAAAGAACTTCAGGAGGTCATCTAATTCAATCCCCTGCTCAAAGCAGGACCATCCCCAACTAGATCATTCCAGCCAAGGCTTTGTTGAATCGGGCCTTAAAAACCTCCAAGCATGGAGATTCCACCACCTCTCTAAGTAACCCATTCCAGTGGCTCGCCACCCTCCTAGTGAGAAGCTTTTTCCTAATATCCAACCTTAACTTCCCTTGCTGCAGCTTAAGACCATTGATCCTTGTTTTACTATCTGCCACTCATTGAGAACAGTCTAGGTCCATTCTTTTTGGAACTATGCTTCATATACTTAAAAGCTGCTATTAAATCCCCCTTCAGTCTTCTCTTCTGAAGACTAAATAAGCTGACTTTCATCAGCCTCTCCTCATAAGTCATATGTCTCAGCTCCCTAACCATTTCAGAATAGGTTACTGTTGACTAGTCATTTATTTTGTACGTGACTGAATATTATCTATGGAATATTTTCCACACGAGAAATCAGTTTGTATTTTTCATCATAATTCTCCTTTTGATTTTTTTCACCTACAAATCTATAATTATGAATACAAAATAACCAGCAGGTTGAAATGTTTCACCATTTTTTTTTCAATTAGAAAATGTGGTTTTGTTGATTTTGAAAATTTTAGCAGGAAAATACTGATTCTGAGGATTTTTCTTTGATATTTCAATTAGAAAATTGGAAATGAAACTCCTGCTTTTAATCAATATTTTGTAAAGGCCTGTTTTATTTTACTTTTGTTTTATGACAATCTTTTGTTTCAATGTTTGGTCATCCAAAAAGTTTCTTGATTCCTGTTGGATGACAGTAAGGAGTTTAAAAAGTGCCACTTTTAATTAGTGGAGGGCAAGGACCATGTCCCTGCTTAGACATCAATGAAGAAATTCAGAAGAGGTTTTATAAGTTTGTCTGATTGGTATGGGAAAGGCCAATTATTAAGCCTAAGGAATTAGCATAAAAAATAGCTTCATATTTTCTGAGTGTCTTCAGATAACAGATATTGACTTTTTCAAAGAAGCTACTGATGCCTATTTTAGGATGGGCAGAACAAACTTGAGAACAGGTGCCTGAAAACATGCTCCATAAATAATATGTCTTCATCCTGCAGTGAAAGTGAAGGATATTTTTGTAATATAACATCTGAGATACAAAAATTGGAGAGATGTTGAAGCCATCATGGTCCAGGAAATATGCAAGAGGCAAGGCATATTTAGTCCAATAAAAGATATCACCCAAAAGATTATCATCTGTGATAAAATTCACACATAAAATACCTGTTTTGGATATTTCAGCCATTCTTGTGGAAATCCCTTGATTTGTGGCTCTTCTGTTTCTTTTGAGTCCATATTTTCAATAGTGCCATTCTCCAAAGAAGGCGAGGAAGTTGAAATCATTTGTCTAACAAGCATGTGGTTCATATCCACATGAAAATCAGCAGAGATTTTCCTGTTGTCCCTGATATCAAATAGAGCCACGCTCACAAAGAAAGGTTCTACCTAGAGATAAAAATCAAAATATATGTGCAATCAAAATATAGCAATATAAAAAAGCAACAAGTATAAAACCTGTAGCAGGCTTGTCTTTCGGAGCTTGGGTTGAGCCTCAGGGTTGAGATTTTACTGTTTTGATTGGTGAAGCCCATCCACCAATCAGGAGGCAGCAAAAGGAGTTGAGTCGCACCCCTTTTCTGAGAAGAGGGGGATAGGAGCTCCTTCTGGACCCGATTGTAGACTGCAACACTGTCAGGTCCGGAAGACTTCAGGGGCGGAGCCCTGGAGTGTATAAAAGGAGCTGCATGCTCAGCACAAGGGGAGATGCATCAGGGACAGAGAAGACAGAAGAGAGGGGCTTAGACGAGCTGAGGAGAGCTGCCCAGCAGGGTTAAGCAGTAGCCTAGGAAGAGCCCTTGAAGACTTCTATCAGCACGGAGCAGGGGACAACTCCAGTGGTTAGGCTCTCAGTGCACAGCACGGCGCATGGCATCCAGACCCTGGGAGCTACGTGAGGCGGCTCAGGTCTGCAACCTCTGGCATGTGGCCAGAGACACAGTGTACAGGCTGGGGCATAGAGCAGGATCTTTGGAGAGCTTGGACGGCTCAGGTCCCCAACCCCCAGCATGAGGCTGGAAGCTTGGTGCAGGAGGCGCTGCATGGAGGGTCCGGGAGCAGACTGAGCCCTGTGCTGCAGAGGTGTCCCAGGTCTCCAACCCAAAGTCCAAGGAGACAGATGGTGTTCAGGCTAGTGAGCCAGCAGACAGGGCTAAGCCAGAGGCCCCAGAAGCCCTGCATAGTGGAGCACAGTTTAGCTTAGCATACAGGTCTTAGAATTGGTAGGTTTGTAGCCCAGGTGTACTTGGGTATATACTCCCCTTCTCCAGTTAAAGCAAATTGTTAGCAGGCAGGTATGCTGTGGGGGAATTATAACTTGTGTGGATGGAGAGAACAGGATGAAAAACATGAATTTCTTAATAGTTGAATAAAAATTTGAAAAACATTTTCTGTCAAAAAGACAGAAAAGTTAGTTTTAAAAATCTCAATTTTGCAATCAAGTATTGTAACTGTGGGCATTTGACACATGGTAATGAACACTTGAGCTAGACCTCTAAATCAGAAATGAGAATAAAAAATATGCTGACCTATGTTTTCACAGTAAGTGTAAAAGGAAGCAAATGGAACTGTTACATATTTGTGATGCCATAGAGGTGTGGTTTAGACACGGGGAAAAGAACATAACATGACCATCAGGAATGGCCACTTTATTGGGTTGAGTAGGGACTAGAACTGAAAACAAACCTGGTGCCTAGGATGGTGCACACAGTTACAACATCTAAGAATACATTACCCCATTCAACAATGAATGAAAATATATCACAGGACCTCTTGAGAAATGGTGTACACAAATGCCCCTGGTACAATAAAGACTCGCATGTGGTCATTACAAAGAAAAGAAAAAGCAACGAAACAAGGGTTTTCCTTGAAGCTCCATCAACTACAGAAATTACTTCCCAGAAAATGGAAAAGGTGAATGCTGAGCAACAGAACCAGAAATAATATTTAGTGACTTTCTGTGTAAGTGGCGACATTGCACAAGATGCAAATTTTCAAAATTTCTAGGAAACCTAAAATCTTAAAACCAGCCATTTCTATTCATATTTTCTTTCATGTCAGTTCTTGCAAACATCGGACAAGATTTATCCATTAATTATTTCACTCTGCTCTAGTGAAAAACATCAGCTAGATCCCGATCCTAGCAAAATCAGTTATGACAACTTAAGACTGCTTTGCAATATAGAGCAGAATCAGTAAATCTGGCCCTTAACAAAGTACTGGATATAGAGACCAGTGCATTAGCAGATAAATGATTCTATGATTTCTCAGCTTCTGTGCTGCATTTTCTTGCTACAGTCATCATTACTTTACTTCCACTGCTGTTTTATTTGGCTAAAACAGTACTGCCTAACATATGCTGAATTCTGCATCCACTGGAGAGGTCATCTGCTAATTTTCATTTGTATCTCATATGCAGTATATGAAAACTGAATTGCCACAACATGGATTTGACAAAATATTTGAAATTTTCCCCCTAAAAACCAGGAGTTATTAACTTAAAGGGCATGCAGTTTTGTAATTTAGAACTGATCCCCCTCCTACTACCACACACACATCTTGGCTTTTTTTCCCAACAAGGATACAGTAGAGGGGGAGCTGATTCTTGCCCTGTTCTACCTTCACTCAGAACTGTCTCTGGAGGAAGCGACTAGCCTTCTTTACCTTGCCTGCTGGGCCCTGATTAACATTTTCCTGATTTCTGGCTCTGTACCTAGTGGAGGACCATCATTGTTTGATCTGTGCAGCTCTTGGGGTGAAAAGGGGTCTAAATCTGCTGTTTCAAGGTATCTCAAAAGGTACTTTCCTCAGCCAAGGTTCATCCAAACATTAGTGTGTCCAGCAGGAGGCATGAACTGTTTATTCTACCCTGTCACCCAGCACTATTTTCTGTACTAATGCAATAATTATCCTCTATTCTCACAACAAATATACATATCTGTTAAAGTTTAGTTCATGCTCCCTCTTCAGACAATGGTAGGGGCACATTAACATTGCAAAAAAACAATGTTGTTTTAGATGGACTGTGGCCAACTCTACATTGATTTCCCATCTGTTTATAAGACCTAACCTCAGATCCACTTAAGTCAGTGAGAGTCTTGGCTCCAGTGAATCTTACATCAAGTTCACTGCATAAGCCTAAGAAAACAAAGATCCTCACAGATATTTTCCCTTTGAATTTAGATCAAGAAAGAATAAATTTATCTAAAATGTTTCAATTAGATATTCCCTAAATGTATTAATTGAATGTTGGTCTAAGAGCTGCCCTATAGCATTTAATCTAAGCAAGGGGAGAGGATACAGTGTGTGAAGATAACAGAGATTTAATTTCCCCTTTTAAGGTAAGGCAGCAACGATACAGACTTAAAGGAGCCCATCCATCAAGAAAAGCAAGATGAAGATGCAAAGAAATGAACTAAGCTTACATTAGTTACAGGATCACTTTCATTTTCAGTAACACAAGCTTGAAGATTCAAAATGAGAGATTTGCAAGTTATCATGATCCTCTTTGCAGCCTTTTCCTCAAATGGTTTGATCATCAATTCTGTTTCTAGAAACTCCTTTTTTTGAGGATTCAAGGTCTAAAATAAACAAATAATTTGGGAAGATTAATTATATTAAAAGAAATTCAAATCATGAACCCCTTATGCCTGTGGCGGAACTGATAATTGAATTCAGGTTTCCCAAATTCCCATTTGATACCTAATCCCCAAACCATCTGCGTAGCACCATCTTTTTGTATTAAGGGATACCTAAACTCAAACTCTATTGAACTCTCTGTTTAGATGAATGTAGCCAAACACCTACAAAATGTAACTCCAAAGACATGTTTGTAGAAGATTTCCACCTCTAAAATTACTGCAGAATATTTTGGTATCGTTGAGTATTTCAACTGACTTGAACAATGGTTGAATTGATTTTATTTTGACCAAAGTTTTCTTCTCAGCAAAATAACATTTCCTTCTACGTCTCCAACTAAATATGTTTTTGCAATTGTGTAGTTTTGGTGAACTTTTCCTCTCTCTGATTTTCACTTCCTTGTGCATCTTTGCAATAAAAGCTGAAATAGTTAATAAGAATAAAATTTGCTGTTCCCATAGTCTTTCTATCTAGAGAGGAAGTATCATGAATCTTGTGAGATAGCCTGCTCTCATGAGATTTTTGGCTCAGATGGGAAGATTCAGGAGTTTCAGATATCATTCAGAAAAAGAACTAAACTTTTGTCTCCTTATCCAAACTGAGCCAAATTTTCATCTCAGTTCAGCTTCCTCTTGATGTCAACAGTATTTTTGTCATGGTTTCAAGTAGAACTAAGATTGAAACTTTTCTGGAATGTACCAATCTCTATTTTAAAATGCCAATGGTTTAAAAAGTTGGTCATCTCAAAATCTCGTTATAGGACCAACAAATCAGTACTAGTCACCATGAAAAATATTATTTCAAGTATTAGTTGTGAGGTAAGCACACAACATTCAAAACAGTGATCATCCCAAGTGTGGAAGTGTGTTGTAATACTTAAGTACCCAAGTGCCCACAACCCTTCAAATAACTTTGGTTCCTGTACCAAATTCATTATGAGCCACTTGTATTTTAAGAACTGTTAGAAACACAATACAGAATTCTCACAGTTACATCAGGATCCAGGGAGAACAGATTTAGCCGCTCCACATGTCGAGATGTTTTCACAGTTTCTTCAGTCTCCATGATATACTGTGGTGACAGTTAATAAATTAGACTTCTGCATACAGACAATAATTCAGATACAGTTGGTAAACCTTAGAAAAAATATTTTTGTTTCATTTATAAAAATACATTTCATTTCTATGCCTGTTAACATTTCAGGTGCCCAAAGTTGTTAGACATTATTTAAACTGCACAACACCCTCTGACAGGTAGGTAAATCAAGGCACATATTAAGTAGCTTGCCAAAACATCAGAGAGCCAAATAGGATTGGGAGCAGAACCCTAAAGGCCTAACATACAGTCTGCAACTCTTAATCATTAGCCCATATCCTCTTCCTTCAAACACCCATAAATAAGCTAATGTTTGCATTTATTTTTTTCAAACTCACAAACTCAATATTTTAATACTAGTTTTAGTTTGGCAAGGTCAGATGAGTATAAATACATATCCAATTTCAATTTCAAGTCAGCGAGTGACATGCTCATACTTTTGGACAGTATTTGGCCCTTTGTCTTTATTATATCATAATCCTCAATAGCTGAATATGTCATGGTGATATACATAGACTAGATATAATACTGGATGAGATGGAGAATCATATGTTGGTTATCTTCACTTAAAATACAGTGTTGTAATATTTTTTTATGATAGGTTTTTAGTTGTTTGTTGCCATAAAACACTAAAAAATTGCTGCCATTAACTTTTCAGGGGCTTTTATTTATTTTTTGGTTCTTGTTGGGGTTTTTTATTGTTGTTGTTTTAAATTACCTCATTTTGCTAAAGAAGTTTATGAGAGAGAGACTTGGAGGAAAAAGTGCCTCTCCTGACATTACAATCCTCTTTCAATGATAACGTAACTGGCAGTACACAGTGTGAAATGCAATGTTAAAATCATTTCCTCCTTTGCTTTGTCACGGCTCTAAAAACCAAAATGAGCTGTGATGGGTTTTAAAATTTATTATCATCATAAAAAGAGGGTTTTTTTTGCTACCACTAAGTTTATATAAACCTTGCAGTGCTGTGTAAATCAGGGCAGCATAGCACAATGCAACGTCCCTTACTTTTATGAAGTCTGGATGAGAGGTATTCTCCAACAGATCTGTCTCTTCTTGTTGGCATTCAGAATTTATTGAAACATCTGCAGACTCTTAAAAAAAAACAATTATTGAGAATGATTGTGAGGCTTTTATTCTCCTTGCTATTAACTCCTAGGCTTAAAATATAATTATCTTTATTTTTACCCCCAAGCCTTGTCCTTTCCAACTGTTTCTCCTTCTCTTGTTTGTTACTTCAGGTCAAAGAGGCAGAAACCCCCCCCTAGATTTTAAGCTTTTCAGAGTGAGGGGCTCATCTGTATTTATCTTGTGAAGTACCTGGCACATATATGAGCACTGTATACACAATAAATAATAAAGCCCAGGATACAACCACTTTTTCATTTTTCTCCATCTTTCTTGAAGCAACACAGGGATTTTTTTGCAACTTTATAGTCCAGATCTTCTGATTCTATGAACTTAGGGTCTTGTTACACCTTATGTTGTAAGCTGCACAAATGTTGATCAGTTTAGGCCTAACTTGGAGTTTGGAGCAGTCACATGTTTGGTCTGACCTCTGACTGGCCCCTTACCTGCACAGCTATGACTTGCCACTAGAGGCCTGGTGAGAAAGAAGTTCTGTTCCAGCCCTACTTCTCTATGATTCTCTATGCTTTGCCTATCCCTCACCCATGGCAGCAGCAGCTTTCTAGACTGTGGGGAGGGGATGGAGGTGGCAGGGTTCCTCAAGAGAGGCTGAGGGACTTGGTGGGGGGCCTGCAAAATTATTTTAACGTCTGCATTTGAGAAATATGACAACACCTGAGATCTAACTCTGAGTTTCCCCTAGCTTTAGGTGTGTGTGGACTGCAAATCTGGATTCAGTCTATCATAAAAATAGTACTAGGTTGCAAAGCTCAAATCCATATTCAGATTCAAATTTTGGGAGTGTTTTGACTCTTAGTTGAGGCTGCTTCCTCTTGAATGTGGAATTTTTTTGTGTGAAATAATAGGCTGTTATCATACACAGAATATAGTCTAATAATCCCCTACTACATGCTACATATATTACACAGTTAACTGATCAATCTTCTAATAAATTTAGACCAGCTACATGTGCAAAGACTGGTCACAAGTGCAAAGTAATTATCACATCATTAACTGGTTAACTGCACAATAAATTTGTTCCAACTATACATGCAAAATAATTATCACCCCATAAAAATGACTATTCAGCTATTAAAAGAGCCAACCGGCTACAAAATTAGTGCTTGAAAATGTGTAACAACTCTATAGTTGGTTTCTATCCAGCTTTAATTTGAACATGTAACAGAGCCATAGAGTATTCAGTCCCTCTTTGTAGAGTGAAAGCACATTAGTACACATTTAATTTTAATAGTAAGAAACAAAAAGTTAGCAGATTAGTATATTAAGCCTCTATTAAAATGGCAGCATACCACAGCTAGGATTTTTCATTAGTGTCAGACATTTAAGAAAAAATGAATCTATAAAAGGCATTGACCTCTCTCCTAGAAAATTATTTAGAATATACACAAGGCAATATATGCACATGAACACAGTGAAAGGGATACTGAAAGAGGGCTACATTTACAGAGTCCCCACGCAAGCCTTATGATTCCCACTAACTTGATCCAGAGTTGTATGGTTTAAATTCCACTTAGCCCTTTGAAAAGGATCTGCTAGGAATTAACTGAAACTGTTCGGAGAATGTAAAAAGTCTGTAGCTGTTTGTCAAAAATCAGTACTGCTGTAGGCACAAATCCATTAGACAATGGCAGTTAAAATGATCCAGTAACAGCCTCTCAAGCAAGAAAGCTACCCAAGTGTATTCACTCTTACCAAGTTTCAGATCAGTGAGATCTGCGCTTTTCCTCTCCTGAATGGACCCCTCTGGATTTATTTGCAAGATTTTGTTGAGAGTGGATATCCAGTCATCCATATCCTGCTCATTTTCAGCTGCTAGCACAAAGTACGTCAGGTCATTCATTTTTAGTTCAAAGGCATGCTTCCTAAGCCTGTTATTCTGTTGTAACAAAAGAGGAGGAAGAAAATGAAGACTGAATAATAAAAAGTCAGAGTTGTGAGGAAGGTGGGGCTTATCTTTGTGACAAACTATTTCAAAAATTAAAACTCAAATACACTTAATGGCTTTAAATAAAACAAAACCCAAATTTTGAGATGTTAACATTTACAAGTGTTTTACTTGACTGTCCAGATGACTGAAGTCTTGTGTTGGTTACAGGACAGCAGCACTGGAAAGTTTCTTAGATAACTGAGACCACACTTACCTAGAATATTTCACTACAGAAGTGTTAAGTATTGATAGTGTTTTAGTTCTGTAGGAAGGGACCACCTCTAACATGGATGCCTTATTACACCCAAACAATCCCAAAGCAATCTGGAAAGACTACCAACCTGGGACCAATGACTATTAAATGTAGTTTCTGTGATGCTGATATTTGCCTTTGGGAACTCAACTAGGTTTACCAAACTCCTTCTATGCAGACTATTAATCAAGTATCACACAGTAAGAACTTTCACTCAGTACCTGCTGTAGTTGGGTTTGTATTGGTTTCATACAGGCTAAAAGCCTTAACACTTATGACCTAAGCCTTTATTGTTTTAAGCATGTATGGTTGCTACTGATCAACTATGTGAAGTTGCTGACTTTATCCAAAGCTAGCAATGCTGTTTGTTCCCTAACTCATCAGCTGTATTCCATGGACACTCAAGTGAAAGCACTAGGAATATGATCTTTTCATCATCTTTGACAGAAACCATTTTTACTGTGCCAATAGTCTCATTATACCCTGAACCCCATGGCAAACAACATTAAAAAACAACTCCAAGATTTAAAAATAACCTTTTTATTTTGTTGGAGGGAAATTATGCTGAAGAACATAATTAATACTTTCTTCCCTGGATCAATGCTCCATTGCTGTCATTCAGTCTATTGGAAAAAAGGAAGTTAGGTTTCCTCAGTTCTTCCTCTTTCATATTGAATCTGTTCCTTTCCCTTTGCTTTTAAAAGTTCTATTCACTTAATCAGTTTTCAGTCCTCATTCAGCAAAACTAAGTTGTTGAATGTAAAGGAAGGTAATAACCCACCTGCCTCCTAAGGTGTATAGTTTTGTCTACAGAATTTATCTATTATATATTATCCACCTCTGTGCAGACCATTTGGGAATATATGTTTCAGGACAATGTTTACAGAAATACTAAGTTCTATTCAAAGATGTGTTGAAGTTGCACCTCATCAACATTTAACACAATAATTATCACAGAAAAAAACCGGAGGTAATATCTAGGAAAGTCATACAGATTTTATCCAGGCAAAAGTATTGCAAAAAAAATTAAACTAAATTAAATGTGAATGATTATTCTCTTAGGCTGTGACTGAAGGAGACTGAGCTCTGCCAGCCATCTCCACTCTATTCCTTATGAGCGGTTTCTTTATTGTACTGTTTAAAACTGAAGGACTTGTCTTCAGACAGGCTTTTATGGAAAAAGTACACGGTTATTCTATTCTGTCTAATTTACATTTCTCTCCTTCTAAATTCATGTCTAAAGTGCAAGGAAATCTACATTTTTAAAGATTAAAATATCACAAATAAGTCCCCAATGTAGAACTTCTATTTATATGGGCAAAAATTATTTTTCATGGTTATGTTTGACATTCCAACAAGGAATGTACATAAGGAGTTACTCTCTCTCCTGTTGTTCTCCACAGCAGTGGGGTTTTCCAGTTGTCCCACTGAGGACTTTGTGACAATTGTACAACTAAGACCTGAACTATTTATCAACTCAAATAATAAAATTATCCTATTCTTCTTCATTATGTCTTACAGTTAAATGCTACATATGTAACAATAAGAACTGGACAGTCTTTGAACTAAGAGGGGACTATGGAAAGATATGCCTAGACAATCTGATTCCTTGAAAAAAAAATCACACATATATTTTCTGCCCATTTTCTCTGTAGAACGCTACATGATTTGGACAATATGAGACTCAGGTTGGAAAAGAAATTAACCAGGAAATCATTTCAGAAGATTGGAAAGAATGATCATTGGGAACACTGCAAATTCCCCCTCAAGAAAAGGGGAGAGTGGAAAACTTTGATGGCATATTTTAACCTACTGTATTGCTAAAATGATTTTAGGAGGACAAAAGTGAATGGAAAGGTTGAGGGTGTTTTGTAGAAGATAAAATATGAGATAAACTACCACATACATATCTTTCTTAAATAAAGAAGAAAAATCCATCCTCGACATACTAGCAGCCAGACTTGATATTGGTCTGTAGCATCATAATTTACCGGCAGATCATTAATTCACCAATCCCAATTATGAGCCTCAATGGCTCTTCAGCTACTGAAACAGCATGGTGAAACTGAATTAAATTACAAGATTTTATAATACAACATGATTCTCTCCTTACATTGACCAAATTAGTAAGGCTTTGTATGATATTCTTATGACATCAGTTTTCAGTCTGTTAGTGCACTCTCTTAAACTTGAAAGAAGTCTTGTGCTGGGGATATCTGTTAACTCCTGGTCTTAAGACATTTACAAGCTCTGATTATAACTGTCACATCTCAATAATTTATTGCCAACATTCCAGAAATCTGTCATTAACTAAAATTAAGTCACAGCTGACCTTTCAGGGATACTGAAGAACCTATCAGATTTCAGCTATTCTTTATTGAACTAACTGATCATTACAGGCTTATTTTCTATCTGTCCTCAATTAACAGTCTTAATTAAACCAAGGATTGTGTCATTATATAATCTATATATTAGTGCTATGCCCTGATGCATAGAACTATAAGCCCTCACTCAACAGTATTTTAGGAGAAGCTGTCAAGAAAACCAGGTATTGAATACACAGCCCAGTGTTCTTCTTTGTACGAGGTCAAGAGGGAAGAAGGTATGGTCAAGTAACATAGCACTATTGAAAATGAAAGTTGCCTGATGGCCTGAATTCCCTTGTTGAGAAACAGATTTATAATTATATCTAACTATAATTTGTTTTCATAGAAAAATTCTGATGTTTCAAAACTGGAACTTCCTTTGAAATTGTCCATTTCAAAAGAAAAAATGGATCAAGTTTTAAAAATATCAGCCTTAATTTTAGTTTTTTCTATATTGATTGTTAAAATAAAGATTAAACATTTTGAAATTATGCAACTTAAACAGTTCAATAACCCCCAGAAGATTTTCTCCCCAGATTTCTTTCTGCAAGCTACCTTCCAAGCTTCTGAAAGTTCTACTGGGCTGAGAAAATCACTTTTCATGTGGCTCTCCCAGAGGAATATTCTTTGTACATTAAATGCCCTGGTAATGAGTTTGAAATATGATCTAGAAGGAAGAAACCACCATGAAATTTCTCTCATGAAAGGAGAACAAAAGACATCGAAATGAATGATTTTGTTGTCTGCAGTATGCACTTCCCTTTATGGACTCTGCCAAGAAGTTTAAATTAGATAATATAATGCTACCAGACTTTATCTAAAAGAGAACTAGAACTCACAGGCTGAATCTTAGACAAATTAGGAAGGAAAACTTCAATATCCCCCTTTCCATATGCATTTTTGAGTTTTGGCAGGCAGATGAGATCTACTGCCAAGTCTTTGTTTCAAATCTTCAGCCAAGTACTTTTTCTCTGCAACCAGTTGAGAAAAAATACCTCCTTCTCCATTTGCTTCTTTATTACCCCTTCCATATGAAACTGTAGCTTAGCTTTAAAATGTAATTATCATTGACACTTAATTTAAAGTGTAGTGTTATATTCTACAGGAAGAAATCTCAGAAATAATAGAAATAACAAGCTGAAGAGGCTTAGTCCTGATCCTGCCTGTAGAATCATTCTTCTAAAATCACAAGTATTTAGTCCAGGGATGACACATCTTCCACTGTATTCTGCCCTTTAGTATGTGGATCATACCAGCATAGAATCTCATTCTCTGCTTACATGCCCAGAGTAAACTGTTAGTGACTTAACTGCAGTCAACTGCATTACAAATTGTATGATACTGCTGAAAATAAAAGGACATTCAGGGCTTTAGTTTCCTAAACCTTCTTGGGTTTCTTTAAAATTACAACTGCATACTTTTTGGCTATCCAGAGCCCAGTTCTCCTGACTTTTGTCAACTTTACACAAAGCTTTGTCTTTTTCTTCTCTCCCTGTCTCTGAGTTTCATCACACTTTAGAAGTGGTGGTTTTGTTGGTGATGATGTACTGTCACTAGCAGTAGAACACCTTGCTTTCATTGGTGCACTCATTTCCTGCCGAATGTCTGAGCCACAGCACAGGGAGAGCCATTTCTTCAACTGGCCATCTCTGTCATCTGATATACCTCCTTGGTCAGACTCAGCAGCCAAAGAAGCTAGCTTCCAATGCTACCAAGGGTGAAGTTAAATATTTACTAAAATACCAAAAGCTCTGGACCACTGGAAGCAGGTAGTAAGAAATAAATGCAGAAACCCAGAGCCAGTGGCCAAAGGTTGGAGATTAAGGAAATCAGGTTCAAAAGTAGCAGTATCTTTAGCCATTCTTATGTTAGTCAAAAGATGCTAGTCATCTTGTAAAAATTACTGATCTCAAGACTTCTGCTATTTTGGGCTAGATATGGAAAACATGCAGCTTCTGTGTTTATAATTGAACCATATCCAAAACCACATTGGAAGTGCAGATTTCAGGGGCTTGTTTTGAAGAACCCTCTATGCGACACTGGTCAGGTTGCAGCTGGAGTACTGCGTCCAGTTCTGGGCGCTGCACTTCAGGAGGGATGTGGACAGCATTGAGAAGGTCAAAAGGAGGGCCACTCACATGATCCAGGGACAGCAGGGCAGGCCCTACGAGGAGACCTGACCCTGACCTGAACCTGTTCAGCCTTCACAAGAGAAGGCTGAAGGGGGACCTGGTGGCCGTCTATAAACTTACTAGGGGGGACCAGCGGGGATTGGGAGAGACCTTGTTCCCCCGAGTGCCTCCCGGAGTAACAAGGAATAACAGCCATAAGTTGTAGACAGTAGGTTCAGACTAGACATTAGAAGGTACTACTTCACAGCCAGGGCAGCTAGGATCTGTAACCAACTTCCAAGGGAAGTGGTGCTGGCTCCTACCTTGGGGGTCTTTAAGAGGAGGCTTGATGTTTACCTAGCTGGGGTCATTTGAGCCCAGGTCTTTCCTGCCCAGGGCAGGGGGTCGGACTAGAAGATCTACAAGGTCCCTTCCGACCCCACATCTATGAATCTATGAATCTATGAAGTTCCAACTAAAGCTTGTCTTTCAGAAGAATACTTACTAATAGCAAGCATGAACAAACAATCCCTTCTCAAGTTTTGTGAATATGGGGACACTTTTCACGTCCATGCTTCCAATGGGGCAGCACCAAGACAAACGAGGATGAAAGTCATCAAGTATCACCTAACAACAGTAACTGAGAATAACTAACCAGCCATGAATACACTGTTTTACTGCACTCATCTCCAAAAGAAAACATTAATTAGACTCCTGTTATATTTTGATCACTGAGATAAAAATCATCCTGTGGAAAGCACATTGGACCACTTTTATTTAGTTAAAATACTCTTTATTTTAATCCTTTTAGAAATAACAACAGGGGAAAGGCCTTACATTATTACAGTAAATTACAAGAAGTGCCTGGTTGAGTTTTTAAGTATGCCAAAATAGCTATATTATTAATAGCAATCCATTTACCTTCAGCAATTATTTTTTCCATTATTGAATGTTTCATTCCTTTCCACATATGTAATCAATTAGCTTAAATTGTCAAGATCACATAAGTTATTTTGCATGCACTGCACATAATACAAGCATGGGTTACATGACTGTGAGAAAAGGTTTGCAGAAACAGATTTGTTTGAGCATTACTACATGCGTATGTTGTATGGTAACTGGTAAAGTTAACAGTTCTGTATTTTATATCTGACTGGTAACATAGCATGGATGGACTGGGTCTCTTTTGAGTGATGACATTCTTTTTATTCTGGAAGGCATCTAGATAGAAGTGTGATAATTACTTATTTACCATGAATATTATAATTTTATGTGGGGCACTATTCTATTATCTCTCTGCTTGTTCAACTTTATTTTAAACTGAGAGAAGTAGTTAGCTGTGTTAATCTGAAGTTAGGCAGACTAATTGTTAAACTATTTGGGGAGTATTGTGGTATAACAGGAAGATAATATTTAGACTAATCTCACTGCCTCATCAGATCTATACAGATGGTGTAGATGATCAGCTTTCCATGAGGCCCAGCTGATTGCAACTAAAAATTGAAATCTTTTGAATGCTTTCTGAGACAGGTAACAACAGTGGCCCTTAGCCAGGAGCCTGGAAACAGCAATATAGTTAAAGACTTCTAGCTTATTTTTGGTTTATTTATAACTGAATAACCAGGTTCTTTCAGGGCTTGGCTGGGTCTTGCCAGGCTTCCATTATTTATACTGAAATCCACTTCAAACATATAAAACTTTAAAAGCACACTTCACAAGAACTAGGTTTTGCCAAATCCCCATGCCAAATCATGACCGGTGCATTAGAGCTTCTGCTGCTGCCCTTTCATGAGGACTGCAGAGTGGTTTAGAGCTACGTAAAAACACCAAGAATCCTGAGGCCTGCTCCTGCACTATCGGCTGCCAGGCAGGAACAGAAGAACCATCAGCACCAGGCAGGAAAAACAATCATCTGCTGCAGAGGTCAACATTTCTCCTTGTGCCACCACATCCTACAGCAGGTTTGAGCAGACATCTTCACGGTAAATTCTTCACTAAGGTGCCTGCTCCTATAAGAGCAGAAACTGCCTAGGGAGAGGGCCCTGAGAGCCAGACAGAAGCCCACAGGTGCACGTTACTATGGCAATAGGCTAACGAGTAAATTAGCCTGCACTTGAACCTGGTCAGCTGACTGGAAGAGGCAGGGCCCTGGGCAATATAAACCCCAAGGCTGGGACTAGAAAAGGGAGTTCTCTGTTATTAGCCAAGGGGAAGGAGCTCACCAGAGAGGCTTGGCTGCCTGGTCTACTCCAGGTAGGATTAAGGGGCTCCAGGAGCTCACCAGAGACCCTGGCCTATAAGGCACTTAGTGCTGGGAGAAATTTGATGTATTAAAAGGACAGTGCACACCCTGAACTGCTTATATTATGTTATAGCCTAGGGGCTCAGATTTTAGTTGCTGTTTGACCAGTGGATTGGGCTAAGCCTATTGGGGAAGGAGGAGGCCTCACTGGGGGCCCACTATGGTGTGCCAGAGAAGGGCACAGTGATAAGGAGGTGAGCAGACTGCAGTGCCAGAGAAGGGCAGCAATAAGGGGGTGAGCAGACCCCAGCACAGAGAGAGGGCTGTGGAGAGCCCAGCACCAGTGTAGGGTGCAGAGACAGGGCTGTGGAGAGCCCAGTGAGGACAGGGGGCCGAGCTATAGCAAGGACCAGGAGAGACAACGTAAATACCATCTGTGAAGCTTGGGGTGTGACTTGGGGCTACACATCTAGCCCATAAGGCTGAGGGTATCCTGTGAGGCATTCATTTTGAAGCGGGACCCCAAAGGGGTCTAAGAGCCCACAGGGTTCAGTGGGGTCCAGTAAGACCGTGTCCAGAATACAAACTCGAGGGCAGCAGCCTCCTGATTTATGAGAATTACAAGCAAGCCATGGCAGGAGAGAAAGGGGGTACCCACTGGGCAGGATTGGCATGGTCAAGGAGCCCTATGGGTATCACAGCCATCCCTGGGGACCCTATCCCGTGACATTCACTCTGTTTATTTTTCTCATGTCAAAGAACAACACATTTTTCCAGCCAAGAAGAGCCCTGCCTGTTTAGTAAAACACTGGAACAGGTTACCCAGAGAGGTGGTGGAAGCTCCATCCTTGGAGGTTTTCCAAACCCAACTAAACAAAGCCTTGGCTGGGATGATCCAGTTGGTAGGACTGTGTGAAGCTTTGATCGCTGATTTGATTCGGCAGAGATCTGGCCTGATTCAGTGGCTGAATCTCTGAATCTGAATTGAATCAGGAGACCTTTATCTCCCCTAATCTAATCGGAACCCTCCAAAATGATTCAGAGAGATTCAGAAAGATTTGGCGATTTGGACATAGACACCGCTTTAAATGTTTTTTCTACATACCTCTAGGTAGCAGGTGACTCATGAATGCTGTGATGCTGGGCACATGGAGTGTCCTACAGAAGCATGGGGAGCATGCTGGGGAGCCCCCCAGTGCACTCAGCAGAAGCACTTCTAGTCCACTTCTTCCAGGTCTGTCAGGGAGCATGCTGGGGAGCCCCCCCATGCTCCCTGGCTCAGCAACTGGTGCCTCCTTGGTCTTGGGGGCACCCAGGCCCCCCCCCCCCCCGTAGCTGATCACCAAGCCAGAGGGGTGCAGGGGGGGCCCCCCCTGCATGCTTTTCAGCAGAGGACTGGAAGTATTTCCAGTCCGTTTTCAGGTTTGGCATTAAGCAAGCGGGGGCCCCCACATGCAAGCCTGTGGGACACTCCATCCACCCCAGCATTGCAGCATTCACGAGTTATGCCTGGTACCTCAGGGTATGTAGAAAAAAATTTTAAGCTGTGTCTATGGCCGAATTGGTGATTCTCCGAATCAGCATCGAATCTTCAGATGCAGATTTGGCCAAATCGAATCGGGGACAGTGATACAAATCCACTAATCAAATCACTATCCCTGATTCAGGCCGAATCCAAATCGAATAAGGCCTGTTTTGCACACCCCTACTAGTTGGGGATGGTCCTGCTTTGAGCAGGGGGTTGGACTAGATGACCTCCTGAAGTCCCTTCCAACCCTAACTTTCTAGGATTCTATGATGACTGAACTAGAACGCTTTGTTTCAGAGCAAGTCCAGAACAAAGCAGTCCAGCACTTTACTTTAGCAGTATTCTCTGCTCCACAGGCTGAGCTACTTCCCTTTGAAATGTTCCCAATCTTTTGCCAGTTGAGTAACTTTTGGAAACCCAGATACACTTTACACTTCAATTTCTTTGATGAAACTACTAATAAAACTAAGGTAGGCTTTACCCTGTTTGCCTTCTTTAAGATTCTCTGTCATCTGAGAGACTGAAGCCGAGAGACTGAAGCCTGCAGTCTTTTTGAGTAAGAAGCTTGCAACAATCCTGCAACACAATTCACACAATCTGAGATTCATGCCCAGAGTTTCCTGAAGTCAGTGGGATTCCCTATGGATGAATCCTTCTAAATAATTAGTGCCATTTAGTTAGTTTATATAAATATATATAAATGCTTGCTTGTAATACTTGCATTTCTAACAAAATAGTTCTGCTTCTGCCTTCATCTGTCCATTGAATCAGTGAAGTTATCTAATAATGAAACCGATAGCAGACCCGTCTATAACAAAACATATATGCTCCTCCTCACACTTGTCCAGAAGAATTCTCATTTATGTTTTGTTGTATTTTAACATTCAAAACCCTCCTACAAAATCTATAGTTAATTACATGGAGCCACTAGAATGAAACAAAATGTGACTCACCTGCACAACCCCTGTACAGGAATCCAAAAAAATGCAGCCCTTCGGTTCCTTTGATATTTTCTCATCTTTATAAAAATTCATGATGTATGAGTTATCCGATAACTGTGTCAGCTGAAAGTAGCGCTTTTTGAATGACTACAGTAAAAACAAAAAGATGATCGCTGTATTGCAAATTGTTTTAATAGACCTTTCATTCACAGATAGGGATTAATAATACACCACTGTTAACTGCATTTTAACTATGTGGATTTGCAGACAATAGTCATATCTACTTTGCAATTGCTTCATACAGTTGCATCAAACCTAATTTGAGATATAAATGGCTAAACGACAATGGAAAACAGCAGCAGCCCTATGTGGGTTATAGAGCCAAGCAGAACAAACAAAGAATAATGATGTCCCCTTACCCGAACAGTAATGCTGTTGTTTATGGTGCTGTTAAAATTTCCTTTATAAAGCCAGCCAGATTTGAAAACACCTGTCCCGAATCCTCCACCTCCACCACCACCCTTTGAAGAGGAGTGGGATGTTGTATCCTATAGGGAAGCCATTGTTAATACTGCTTTTGCACTCTTCAAACTAAACAAACTGCATATGAATATCTGCTTTCCTTAAAATATATACATTTCACAGACCTTTTAAAAATGGACTTATTAATTCTCCTGCTGTGCACATGATCACATAAGAGACAAAGCTGTTCATTAAATTCTGAGTTATTTAAAGTAAGAAATTTTAGAGCAGATAGCAAGGTACCATTATCATTATTTATTTGATTTTAAAGCTATAAATAACTCAACTGAAAAAACAATTCAATATACTTACTTCATCCTTATCAATATCTTCATGATCAATTTCAAAGGAATGTGAGGGCAATTTCTCTGGTCTACATTCATTTCTAGGGAAGGGAAAAACTTATTAATGTTTACAATAGAGTATACTTTGAAATGTGATAGCTATGTTGAGGATGCTAAGCTCCTGACCTTGCAAGACACTTTTAAATACATTACTGCTGAAGTTGTTTGATCTTCTGTAACAATACTTCTTTAAAAAAAAAATGGTGAAGTTTTTATCCCTGGTTAAAATCCCTCTCGTGAATGTTTTAACATCAGTAAGAACTGTCAGAATACCCCCTACCCCCTCGAATTATGAGGGGGTTTGTGTCATTCCCCCTGCCCTCCAAAAGAAACATCCCAGTTAAGATCAGTGAAATAAGGATTAGAGCTGTTTCACTCAGGTTTTTTTTTCTGGAAAAAAATATCCTTCTTTTGACCGAAGGAATTCCAACACAGTTCCAACTGGGCATTATTTCAATATCTTCCCTACAAAACCTTGCAATGGCCACAAGCTTAGGAATATAGTGATACTGAACACAGAAGTGCTTAGACAGTCTATAGATTCAGGTCTCAAAAATTTTTCACTTTGATCCAACCAGACACTTAAACTCTGGCTTAACTAAGTCCAAGAGCAATCCTAAAGTTGCATGGAGGACCAGTGTGCAGCACCTTATCAGACTCATATCCTAAATAACAGACAGGTAGACAGCTGCATTACAAAACTTTTGGAATGTTTTTAATGGAGACCAAAATAATTTAAATTTTTACTGCCACTAGGTGGATACCTACATTGTCTTAGAATTCTCTAAGGTCATCACTTTGGAAACTTCTCCAAGTCTTAATTGGCAAGCTGTGAAAGTGGCCAAAATGGAGACTGCCTTATTATAATGAAGACAAATTTTATTTACAGAGGTCTCACTATTAGGTGCTGTTCAGAAGAATATAATATGTCAAACCGACGGAAGCAGCTGAAACAAACTGAAACAGACTTAAACAACAAAGCAACATTAAATAAGAACTATACTCAAGTGAAAGTTCAAGAATAACATATCCATTAAAGAATTTCTTCCCTAAGACTGGCTAACATTATGTTGGGTTATCAAACTTACCCCATGCCTCAGGCCAAATCCAAGGGGCTCCCTCATGGGACAGATTTGACCTGGAGCCCAGGGTGGCAGTGACAGTGGTGGGACTGGCAGTTTCAGGCTAAGCAGGATTGTTTCATCATAGCCCTTGTTCACCTTTCTGCCACTGATGGCCATGTCCACCAGGGCCTAGGGGCCCTGAATTCTGCAGCATACCCCACTCTCCCAGTTCCAGTAGCCTACTGGAGGTTCAATAGGCCAAATGAAGTGTCCTGAATTCTGCAGCATACCCCACCCTTCCAGTTCCAGTAGCCTACTGGAGGTCCAACAGGCCAAATGAAGTGTCTCTGCAGGCATACCACATACTTGACACCCCTGACCTCTGTGACGCAAAATATCACTATCTTATATTTTGCCAAAGAGTAACACCCATATATCAGAATGGGGTCAGACTTGATGATCTGCTCAGATCCCTTCTAACCCTACCAACTACCAACTATGAAACATGAGCCATGATATAAACTTTAAATGGGCCGTGAAAGGAAAAAAAAGTTGGTACTTATGTCTATTTTTGTTTCTAAGTTATGCATAAGCAAAATGAATTGGGGGTAGGACACAAAACAACCTGGGTTTTTTACACTGGCAAATCAGTTCCTGTTGACCCTGGAATATCCTATGATAACTGAAGTTCCAGCATCACAGGATTTGAAAAAGTTAAAGCTGCATAGTTGAGAGAATAAGAGTCCTCTCATTTAAAACTCATTGTTTCTAGTTTGTTTTGGTTTTGGCATCTATTTAACTTCATTGATGTATTTGCATTTTGAATAATGGAAGCCTTTGTTAGAGACTCAGTGGCTTTGATAGGATCCAAAATAAATATCCCTGAGACCTTCTAGAGGTTCTTTGGTGCGGGCAGGGAAGAACAGATACAATATTTCTAATATTTCTAAAATAAAGAATAATCTCCAAAAGAATCTTTAAAAATAAGCAAACATCTTTCAAGCCTTTTCATAATATAAAGCTGAAAAAAGGCAGAAGCCCTTTTTCTCCCAAGTTTCTGGTAGATTGGTTTAAGAAATACCCTCAACACTGTGCATAGTACAGTAGCATAACTGAGGAGGGGCAACTAGGCAACCAGCCTTGGGTGTCACCTTTCTGGGAGGGCACAAAAATATCTGCTGTCACTGTGCCATGCATGATGGCTGCCCAGGGCACAGAGTTTTCCTGCAGTGTGGCACAGAGTATTAAACAACTCAACCTCCTCTGCAGCTTATATGACTTCCTAGTATAATCTGCTGTTTAGTGCTGACAACTTACCCTTTTTTTTTTTTTTAATAGAAATATCTATACTCATTTGAATTCAGGACTTTCTTAGATGCAAATGGCTATCAAGATTCTGATATATGGGGTCTAGTTAAGTATTTCAATTTGGAATCATTGTGCAAACAGAACATGTTATTTATTAAACTAGATAAAATTATTTGATGTTATTTTTGTAAGGATGAACTGAAAAATGTCAGAACTACTGTACTGTTAAACCCATGACATTAAGATTCTGTTCAGCACCTATAGTTTTATGTGCCGAGAAAACAAGATTATTTCTTTACATCAATAAAGGACACAAACCTATCCAAAGAAAGAAACAAATCTTGTCCTATTAGTGAATTTCTAATGGGAAGATGCTTAAAAAAAAGAGCAAAAGAGGGTGAATTCCACCATTGCTTCAGATGGCAGTGCGGACCTTACTTAGGTAGCATATGTTCCTGAGCAGCCTTTAGTTGTGGGATAGGCTGAGCAAAATCAACACCATTAGAACAGATGTAGTAACTGCTGCAGTAAGCAGGCTTCTCCAGCACACCTGGGGAAATTATGAATGCTCCTGACTACACAGACCAACCTTAAACTACTCCCTTTTGCATTGGCCAGCAAAACAGAACATCTATTGTGTACTTTTAAAGGATCCAAGATAGCTTCTTCTAGCATCAGTTGAAAAAGTCTTGAACTCCTTTGGGAGCACCCTCACTGGACCACTCATTCTCTCAATCACTCTCCAGTCTAAATCTTTTTGTCCTCTCTTAATTTGAAGTCGCTTTAGCTACCCTATCAATTCTCCAGAATAGGCCAAAACAACCTCCTGTGTTGAGGAGGTACTCTCTCTTATCCTGCATCCATTCTCTATACTCTTCCCCCCCATCTCTGTCTCCCCCGGTACCTTAGTATTATTTCATCAGAAGGGTGTTAGAGTGCAGGGGTGTTTGCCTGCATTGAGTTAAATATCATAACTTAGGCTTAAAGCAAATAAAGTTCCTTTTGCCCTGTCATTTCGTCTCTGAGCAAAAAGCATGTTAGAGCATAATATTAGCAAAAGTCATACAAAAAAGCAGTAGTGGGTACACCAAACAAGATGTGAGTTTAGTCTGCAGAAAGCCTCAAAGGGGGAAGACATTCAAAGGAAAACTAAAGAGATAGCTAAACATTTTACTCATGTTAGTTTAACATATAGGAGGCTGAATGTATTTTTGATGAAAAAGTGTTGAATTCAGTGGTGCAACACCACAGATGAATTCAGCCCATGGCAGCTGTTCCAGCCACTCTGTCTCCAGCAACCACTTCCCAGCAGAAAGATCTATTTTCAGAAAGCAGAAGCTTTCTGTCTGCTGAAAACTGCTTTACTATGCTATCAATCTATATGCTGTATGTGTGTCTGAAATGATTGGCTAACACAACCTGCCCTCAGGGATGGAAAAGAAGTCAGTCATCTCCATGTTGTGCTTTAGAGCTACTGTTATACCGACTCTGTAACAAGACAGTGAACTCTGATTCATCTTGTCCTAAATGGGGAATTCCAAGAGAAGGTTCTGAAGACTGTTAAGGAATCAACAAATTTGGGGAAGGTTAGATCTGTCTCAGTAAGTACCTTTGTCATTCTGCAAAATGACTTCTGGTAAGAGAAGTGTAATGTTTTTACAACTTTCCTTGGTGAAACAAATGACTGCAAAAGAGACTGTTTTAGAATGGGCAGAGAATGGATTACTTTCAAGCTGGTGTGGTTCAGACTGATGGGACCTCCGTGCAAAATGCTCTAAAAGGGGGCATCCAAACTGTGGGGGTGGCCAGAGGTGGGACATGCACTGGTACATTGTGAGTTCAGGCCTTCTTAATTTATATTCTACAAAGACTACAGCTCATTATATATGATGTGCTGTTGTATCAGAAGCAGAGATTTTCAAATAAAGATAAAGCAATATTCAATATGATGTCCAGTCATCATAAAGTTGAATGCAATTTGCTCTGATCAACGTACACTGGGTTTGCCTCCTGTCCAAAAGCCAACAAAACCTTCAATTAATCAATTTTGGAGAGTCCTGCTGCAAATTAGCTTTTTGGAGTTTCAAGTGCTTCTGGACAGAACACATTCAGAATCACTGCACTCTCTGTTAAAAGCAAGACTGTCTAGTTTTTACTATAACACATTCCATGGGAAACAGGATGAGACAATATGGCCTATAGCAATAAGGCACATGCTTGAGTGGCCCATTCCCAGTGCTGTCCAAATGCTTAGGGACTCAGAGACCCTCTTTCAGCTCCCCTTCAAAGGTCCATTTGAGTGCAACCATGTAAACATGGCTCACCTGCTGGTCATTGCTTGGCGGAGTCAGGTTCTCTTTTTATGTGAGGTCTGACATGGGTTATAGTTACAAACAAGATTGAGTCGGCCCAGGCCAGAGACCCTTTTTAATTCCTTCTCTATTAGGAAAAAAACAGTCTGCCCATCACGACTCATAACTTTGAGTATGACAAACAGATAAGTGCAGAAAGTTTTGTCCCTATTCAAACATAACCCCCAGTGAACAAAATGTACATACTGACTACAATTTATTTTCATGCAGAATAATGCAAGCAATGCCTGCCAGTTGCAGATGTTGTAAGAGTGACAATGCTAGAAAACTTGGACTGAAAAATGCTGCACCTTCAATTTCTTCTGAGCAGTCAGGCCATCATATTATAAATCAACCTGTCTGGCAGTACAAGTGTATTGGGAATCTAGAAAAGACTGTGTTTAAGATTCCTGATTATTGCTACTGTTCTCCTTTGCTTCTAGGATTAACACATTTTCTCAATTTAGCAAGACTGTTGAACAAGCAAGGAATTCTTGATACAATGGAAGGCTTACAATTCATGATCCTCTCTATACCATGCCTGAAGGAGACCAAAGAAAAAACAATCTAAATATAGTCACAAGCACAGGTTCTGTTTGTACCAGTTCTCATTCTTAATCCAAATACTTTCTGGAGAATCCATTCTTGCAGTTTGCTATTCCTTGCTCATCGTTACAATCTTTTCCACAAGTCAATACTATGAACATTTTAATGTTTCTCTGTTAAAGATGATTGTAAGATTGTTCTTTTTGCAACTTCATTTACTGTTCTTTTCACTGTAACAACCATCAATTTAGAGTATATAGCATGCATCAGGAAAAAGGGGTATTGGCAACAATCACATATGAAAGTCTATGAGCCAAATTCTTCAGTTGTTCTTCAGGAAAAACATCCTGTGTAGTAAAAGATTCAATTTTCTTCTCATATAAAACTTCTTTTTATTGGTTTAACCCCATATGTCTTCTGCTGAGGTAGTCCTGACTACTGTAAGTGTAAATGAGAAGGTATCTGCAGAATATCAGTTCTTTCTATGAGAAAGTATGTAATGAAACTCTGACCACGTTATAGCATTTATTTTTTAACTTCCAACTCACTGAAAAAATCATTATATACACAATGACCAAACACTGAAAAAAGCCCCCTGACAAACACACACACACAGGCCTCTGCTACATTACATATAGTACTCAATTAACTAGTTAATTGCACAATCAATTTAAACCAGCCACAAGTGTAAAGTAATTATCACATGCTAAAATTGACTATCAAGCTATAAAAAGAGCCAACCACCTATAAAGTTAGTGCTTGAAAATGTGTAACAACTCTATAGGTTTCTATCTAGCTGTAATTTGAATGTTTAGCAGGGCCATTATTGAATAAACTATATGTTGCATCAAATTCTGATCTCTGTTACAAAGGTATATATCCAAAGTCAATGGAGTTCTCACCAATCATACATCTCTGTAACCATCAAGAGAATTATATCCAGACAAAATCACTATAATATTTATATTACTAATAATAGTAAAAAGCAAAACTTTTATTTAGCAACAGTATTCTGAATTAGTAAACATTCATTTAAGAGTAACCATTTGGTTTGAATGAGCATGGTTTTTGCAGATGTATGTAAAGTCTGCAAATCTTTGAACTTTTCTGCACCAGAATCTTTTCCTTTGTTTTTTATAGATGTGCCCCAATATGGATATGGCAAAACAAACAGAACATACAAGACAGATGAAATGACAAATATTGACATGACTAAGGGAAACTGTGAAATTAAAAAAAGGAAATGGAGAACTTATAAAAAGTCCTTACTGTGGTAAATGTCGAAAATCTCCTGAATATTGTTCATATTTGTAGTTCACAACATGCCACTGGGAACTGTAATATTTACAAGCCTAAAAAAAGAATGGAAGAAAATGATTATGTCAAATTCAAGAAAGGCAACAATACAGAGAAATAATTCAAGTAGCCTCTCTCATAAGGGAAGTGAACATTCTCCTATTTTAAAGCTTGGTAGTGCAATTCTTAAAGGAAAATTAATTTCATATTCCTTTGAGTTCTAACACACGCTTTCCCTTTTAAATCATGTGGGCTTGAAAACCGCCTGCAGTGGAGCACTGAGTCCATCCTCCTGCTTCAAGAAAGGTTTTATTAAAATTGTCTCTATGCCATCTCAATAGTTGGGTTCTTAGGTTAGCTTTGACTGTCTCCACTGATGTCAATGACATTTTCTCTTTGTACTTTGTTTTGTTACCTAACTCTGCTACAGTCAAGATACTTATCCCACTGATTCAATTCCTACTGCAACAGCCTAAGATCTTAGTTCCTGGTGAGTCTCAAGGACCGATCTTTTTTTCCTTTATAATATTTTATAATGTATTTATAATGTTATTGTGTCTAATATGAGTCATATTATCTCAGTATTGAATCTGCCCCATTTGCTCAACGTTCTCTTCTCGGTTCTTATTTTTGAAAGTTTTTGTCAGTTTTGCAGCTGTCTTCTGAACTTTCCTTAATAAATCCATAGGCCTCACTACAGTATGAATTAATATAACCACTGGTCAGTGTAGATACAGATCACCTGGAGGCCCTGCTAATAGCATGAAATGAATTAGGCCCCAATGACTAGGCATACCACATATGGTAGGCCCCACAACTAGGCATACCACATATGGCTTGTACAGGAGTGCTGGGAATTAGGGCTGTGCGAAGCTTCAGTCCCTGATTCGATCCAGTGGAGATTTGGCCTGATTCGGTAGCCGAATCTCCTAATCCTAATCGAATCAGAGGATCCTTTAATTTCTCCGAATCGAATTGGAACCCTCCAAATTGATTCAGAGAGATTCAGAAAGATTTGGTGATTTGGACACAGGCACAGCTTTAAATGTTTGTCCTATATACCTCTAGGTAGCAGGCAGCTCGTGAATGCTGCAACGCTGGGGTGCATGGAGTCTCCCACAGAAATGCGGGGGGCTCACCAGCACGCTTGGCAGCAGACCCAGAAGTGGATCAGAAGCACTTCCAGTCCACTTCCAGGTCTGCTGGGGAGTGCGTGGGCCCCTCCCCTCCCCCACACCCTGCCCGCTCGGTGACTGGTGTCTCCTGGGTCTGGGGAGGGCACCCAGGGTCCCCCCGCAGCTGATCGCTGAGCCACAGGGGAGGGGGGGGGGACCCTGCACGCTCCCTGGTGGACCCAGAAGTGGAACAGAAGTACTTCTGGTCCACTGTCGGATTTGTCACTGAACATGTGGAGGGCCCTCCCACATTCCCATGGGATGGTCCATGCACCCCAGCATCGCAGTGTTTACAAGCCACACTTGTGACATAAACATTTAAAGCTGTGTCTATGTCTGAACTGCTGATTCTCCAAATCAGCATCAAATCTTCAGATTCAGTTTTGGCCAAATTGAATCAGGGACAGTGATTCGAATCAACGAATCAAATCACTGTCCCTGATTCAAGCCAAATCTGAATCAAATAGGGCCTGGTTCACACACCCCTACTGGGAATGTAGTTCATTTGTTTTAAAGGAGTCTTCAAGGTCAACAGATAGAGAATGAACTGATGATACCAATACAGGATAGAAGCACAGAAAGTTAGGATTGGAAGGGACTTCAGGTCATATAGTCCAACCCCCTGTTCAAATCAGGACCATCCCCAACTAGATTATTCCAGCCAAGGCTGTCTCTAGCTGGGCCTCAAAAATTGCCATTCCAGTGCTCCAGTGCTCACCACCCTCCTAGTGAGAAAGTTTTTCCTAATATCCAACCTAAAGTTCCCTTGCTGCAACTTGAGACGATTGGTCCTTGCTCTGTCATCTGTCACTACTGAGAGCAGTTTAGCTGCACCCTCTTTGGAACCACCCTTCAGGTAGTTGAAGGCTGCTATCAAATCCACTCTCAGTCTTCTCTTCTGCAGACTAAATAAACCCAGTTCCCTCAGCCTCTCCTCATAAATCATTTGCCCCAGCCCCCGAGCAATTTCTGTTGCTCTCCAGTGGACTCTCTCCAACTTGTCCACATCCTTTCTACAGTGTGGGGTCCAAAACTGGACACGGTACTGCAGATGTGGCCTCACCAGTGCAGAATAGAGTGGAATAATTACTTCCCTCGATCTGCAGGCAATGCTCCTACTAATGCAGTGCAGTATGCTATTAGCTTTCTTGCCAACAAGGGCACATTGCTGACTCATATCCAGCTTATTGTCCACTGTAGCCCCCAGGTCTTTCTGTGCATAGCTGCTGCTTTGCCAGTCAGTCCCTGTGCTGAGGGCAGTTTGTGATCAGCCAGCAGAGGAGAAACACCTCCCTGCTGAGCTCTGCTAGGAACACTGCGGAGGTAAGGTGAGGCTATGGAGATGGCTTGGAGGCCTCATTGGTTCTGAGCATGACCTAAAACCGCACCTGCTGGGGCAGGAAGGCCTGCTGGGCTGCCGGTTGGTGCAGCAGCCCCCATGTAAATGCCAGGAGTGAGCACCTCCTTGGTGTAAGACAGGTCAGGATGCCTTAACCTCAGCCCCCACCTTCAGGTGGGTTATATAATGCAGGGATGGCCAGGTAAGCTTCTTGAAGTGCCTGAGCCTACTGGGGTGAGTGGTTCTGTGGGGCAAGGCATGCTTTGTGAAGCACCTGAGCTGGGAATGGGGGACCCCCGAACCGTGAGCAGGCAAGCAGCTTAGACCTGACCCGAGGGACCTGACTGGTCCATGCTGGAGCCTAGACCCAGAGAGATGTCAAAAGGGCCAGGGGCCCACCATGAGGGATGCCCAGAGAGCAGGATGCTCAGGATCCTGCCTGGCCTGAGATGGGGTCAGGGCCTAAGGGGGAGTCAAAGATCTCAGAGAGGGGACCACAGATAATGAGCAAAGGGTATGACTGAGTTTAGCTACCTGGAATGCCATATATTGCGTGGCTTGGGCCACAGTTTAGGGGTGCAATGGAGCTACGGATACCCCCCTAAAAATCGGGGCTCAAAATGGGTAGCCTCCTGCCTGATTAATATCCAAATACTATTACATCAAGGCGTGGCAGATGAGTGAGGTGGGTGGCTGGCCCATAGACAGGAGGCAGGCCGGTGCTTGCACTGGGTGTGGAAGGTTGTGCCCG